CAACTTAACATATTCAACCAATATATAAACAAGCATGTTTTACTATACTCAACTTATCGATTGTATCAAATCATGTTGTATCTTCACTATATTGTAAATAAGGAATAAAACGTATTTATAATATATGTTAAAGATGACCATCGAATCGATTAAAACGAAAAATTTCCATTGTTCGAAGAGATGGACGAGAATCTGAGGTAAAAACATTAACAACCTTTATTTCAAAACTACGTTGTTTTTAATATAAAATTTCTGATAATCTTTAACATTCATTTACTTTCGCTTGCATGACAACAATCGCTATGTATTTGAATCAAACAGTAGATCATTTTTACTAATATATTTCGAATTTCCACTTCATCCATTGAGTGAAAATGATAATATCTCGATTAATCTGTAAAGTTTTTTTCTTCCAATTCATAGAACAGTTGAACAAACTATTTCTTAATAAATACTGTTGTAATAAAACTGATGATGAATGCAGCATAATAACGTCAAACTTCATATTTCATCAATCAAATGAAAATTAATAAATATAATCTTTAATATTATTGTATGATTCTAAGGTGTGTTATTGGATGACGTATTGAAAAGAATATTAAGAAAAATTATTTCTTGCAGAATAAATATATTGAGATTATTATTTTGAAGTAGACAATAGAAAGATTTTAAACTAGTTTTAAACTATAGCTTTCTTACTACTGTTATTCGAAAAAAAAACATATTTCTACAATTTGCTGAATGAAGATCATGAAGCAAGAAATACATAATACTGTTGTTGTACGTTGATGATCTAAAATCATATATTATATAAACCGACATTATTGAATAAGTTCTCGGTTTACATATTGATATATGTAAGAAAAAATGGTAGTTGAAATTCAATACTAATAACAGACTATAGGAGGGAATTCATTTGTAAATAATCGCTTATCCTCTTGAGCCTACAATGTTACGAATAGATTTTTACTCATAATTATGAATTCATTATCATTGCCTAGAGGAGAATTTTTGTAACATTTCATACCTTTGTACTAAGTCGAAAGAAAAATTTCAGTTAAAATGAAGCATTACAATACTGTTATAGAAGATCTCTGCTGCTAGAAATGATGAAATACTTGTCTAGTTTCTGTTCATATCTGATCTCAAGGCAAGATTTCAAGTTGCTTCATCAATCAAATATAAGATGTAATAAGTCTCATAACTGATGTAAAATCATGACCATAAATATTAATAACTTTTCAGTTTTGTTTTATTAGAAATAACATGCATTATTCAATGTCAGTGTCAGCAATACACGACGTTATTCATCAATATTATAAATAGCCTTTGATTTTTTCAGTTTTCACTGTATTTATCAGGCAGTAATGTTTTATGTGAGATTATCATTGGGCTGTTTTCTTTTACATCTGGCTCTTGCCAACTTGCAAATCAATCTGCATTACACAGATTGGGTAAGTGAGAATAGTCATGTATTGCAACACGATTGTTTGCGTGTACATGCTTCACTTGATAAAGGGCATATTAGGCGTGAATTGATAACTTATTGTATGGATGATCTACCATCGAAATTTCATATGGAAAATAATCATATTTTTCCCAAGTTTACTTTTGCGGAACTTGCGAAAGAGAATATTACTAGTTATCAATTATATCTTTGGTCAGCACCAATTGACGTGGCAGAGCGTTATCAACTCTATATAAATCAAATGTCAATATCAAATAATCAATCTTTGGAAAGAGAAATTTTCTATAATTGTACATTGCCAAGATTTGGTTCGTTATGTCAATATGAAATTAACTATGTTCATGAAAACTATTCATCTCTATATGATATGATCAATAATTACTATGAAGAGCGATACTTCAATCCTGATGTAAACTGTTATACTCATTTACAATGTAATCGTGGTCCATCGCCAGCTTGTTTGCATTGGACAGAGATTTGTGATGGTCAAGTTGATTGCATCGATGATAAAGTGGATGAAAAAGATTGTTGGAAAATTGAAATTCATGTATGTCAAGATGATGAATTCCAATGTTCGAATGGACAATGTATACCTATGGCTTTTTATCGTGATGATGATACTACTAATGATTGTGCTGACATGACAGATGAACGTTCGCCACAACTAATAGAATCGTTGCACTTCATTTATAAACAACCGTCATTTATAAATGAAGAGAATCAATTTCGTCGACTACCCATCGGAAATCTTAATTTCGGTATGCGTCGAAGCCATTTATTTCAATCTTTATTTTTGGCTAAAGATAACTCTACATCCAAAGATTGTTGGTCAGCCCTTAGATCTACAATCCAACAATCAATATATGAAAAGCCACTTTTTAATAAGACATGCGTGGAACAAGAGTGTTTTGAAATCATTGAGAAAGAATGTCCAGATGTTTTTTATTTCCCTACGGTGCCAGTCTTTTTTCATAACATTCGACTGGCATTCAACAAAATCGATCTGTCAATTTCCAAGGCTTCATACTATGGAGCAGCTTTCATATGTTACAATAGTTCTGATTATGAGTATTATGTTCCTCCTGGTCGAAATTTTTTATTCAATAATGCAACCTGTTTCCGTCCTGGCGATATAAATACTGTTGGCACGATAAAATACACACTGGAAGAAGTATATCTGTCTCCTTTGTATTAATTCATATATGAAATGAAACCATACTTTTTAATTTACAACTATACTTCTGGAATATGTAACAGATCTGACATGTATCATTGTGTCAACTCTTCAAAATGTATCTCAATGAATCGTCTAATGGATCGTTCAATGGACTGTCCAAAAGAAGATGACGAAAATCTAACGCATATTATGGATGCTGGCTGGACAGATGTTTTAAAAAAACTTTTTAAATGCAAGACGGTTAATAAATATATTCATCAATCGTCTGTTAAAGATGGATACTGTGACTGTAAAGACCCGTATGACCATCACTGTGAAGACGAAGATGAAAATATTGCTTTAGCTA